TTGAGAAATTCGTCTGTTGTTTAACCAATCATTCACTAAAGTAAATTTTCTTATTATTTTTCTATTATTAAATAGCAATCTTAGTGCGGCTACACATGGACGATTAATACGTTTGTGCAACTAAGACGCCGACTGCCTATTGAATTTATTTAATATTAAGCTATATCTCATTAAATATGACGGCATCCAATGCCAGCAGCCACCAAAACTAATCACCAAAGCAGATGTTAGAAGAGATTTATATGACGATTGGTATTGTACAGCTGACGACAAATGTAATAACAATGATTAATTCGCATGAATATGCTTGGAGAAGTCGACAGTTTTCCTCATGGCAGCGACGTACACTGGCGTCGCCACCAATTGAGGTGGGATTGGGTATTTAGTAAAACGATTTGACATGTTTCAATTAACGACGTTGCTGGAGTTACTGCCATGGCCTCTAATGAAATTTAAACTCGATTTTTAAAGGGTAACGTAGTCGTTCGTGTTGTGATACCCTTATTTATTGATAACTCACAATAACTAGAGCCAATAATGCGTGGTGGATTTCCTAGAATTGGCATAAGGGCCCACGAATGGCAACGGGAACTATTTCTAAGAAACCTCAAGTGGTTTGCCAGAAGCTGGTACAAGTTATTAATTTATGCGTTATATTTCCTAGAATTGGGGATTATATAACGAAGAATATACGGTATTTTCAGTATTTAAGGGATTAATTAATTTGTTGATGGATAATAAAAAAATATGTTTCAGATGAACACACATCGCCCTCCTTTGGATCGATTTGTAGCACTGCGAGAAACTTTTTCGGACTTGCGCAGACGCTTGTTGCACGAAGGTAGAAAAGAGACGATTAACATATGGGTATGTATACGACCTTTAATTGTTTAAAACATGTTGCCATTATTTTTTAATAATCTTTAAATTAAATAATACGTTTTTATATTTACCAACTATTTACTAAATTAAAAAACAAAGAAAATATTCAAGAATAAAAGTAAAAGTAATTTTTAATGTAGAAATACTTTAACCATTAAACACAGGACCCATCACTATTCGTTTTGTTGTAGCAACAAAAATATCTTCAAACGAAAAGATACACCAACTATCTAGATGAAGCCTTCGGTCTGGAGCCCATCAAGGAGAACAGAGTGGAGTCCCGCGATGACACGGTCCAGGGATGGCCCTGCGTACCGCGCAAGAGGAGGTGCCTGTCCTCCGCTGATAGTATCCTAGACTTACCCACGTATAGTTATGCCGCTTGTAAGTATAATAGTCAAATTATTTCTCATCATCAGCCTATTAATATCCTCATTGCTGAGGCGCAGGTGACTTATTCTCTAGTCTTAAAATCCATAGCAATCCCTTTCAATTTGACGACTAAAAATATAAACTCACGCTACAATTATTTGACATGTAATTGCGATCACGACTTTTTTTTAAATATTGAATTAACTATGTCTTTAGATTAACATTTACTGGAATTGTCTACAGCAAACTTTATTTTTTTGAGCTGAGAAATGCGTTACTCATACTCGCTGCACCCTGCGTGAGCTCCACGTTATGTGGGGCTCGCCCCTGCGGACCAACCCCCAAAGTGGAGGTTTGTCAAAAAGCGTGGGCCTACCCACTAAAACTCAGCGATGTCCCTCACTGCGGGGGAACGATACGCACGGTAACGGTTCCCAACGGGACCACTTCACGCGCATGCCGTCCCCGCTCGACCCGCCCCTTTTACAGGACAGGTCCCGTCTCGGGTTAGGGGAAGGGCTCAGAAGCATTTGAATCCAACCCACCAGACAGGACAAAGAGCGTGCAATATCAAATATCTTTGAAAGCTACTGAGAAATGTCAAACGAAAGAATTGAATGCTAACTACAGTCTCGTCGGGTGTAACTAAGCTTTTATTATCTTTCTTCATCATTCAAATCATAATTCGTTCCTAAAGCGAATGTGACTTTAAAAGTTACATAATTTCATAAATCGTAACGTTAATCAATTAATCGTTACCTTTGAGAGATAACGATAGATTTTATAATTAGATAATTAGCCTATACACATGCCTTATTGGTTCATGGAATCGAATAAGTAGAACGGACCGCACCCACCGTACTGACCCAGTGCGGGTTGGTGGTCGTTAATGACTGCATATGTAGCCGGGACCAACGGCTTAACGTGCCTTCCAAATCACGGAGGAGCTCGACATAATAATTTTTTAATCATCCTATGACCGGCCCTTAAAGTTGATTAACGACCGTGTCGCAGACCAAATTCGCGAACCACTGCATTATCGAGCTGCTCAAGTCAATAATACATTATTGTAACTAAGTAACATGAATATATTCGTTTTCAAATCTGCAGTATCTTATCTGACTGGTTATTTCTTAGCTTCGGTTGGACATTTTAGCTTATCTAATCACGATTATCAGATAAAATATGTAGTTACCGTGAAATGTTCTGTTGGCAACTGAAACTATGTTTATTGGCATATTAAAACAACGCTCCGAAACATACTTGGTTGTTGTTTAAAAGAGAATTATCAGATAAAATATCAAACAATTATTATATTTGATCGATTTTCCGTATAATATTATTAATTCGTGAATCGTGGACAATTCCAAATGCCTTCTTAGTCTCAGAAAGTAATTTTCAATTGGATTTCTCCGTATGAAATAAAACAACGAGAAAAATGCAGCCCTTGCTAAATTTCTCGCCGGTTCTTGTCAGTACATGGTCTACCGCCGTAGATTTGCAATCCGATTACATAGCTATCGACTTTCACAGGTACTTGTATAACCTAAACTGAAAAAACAACATAGAATTTGAATTGAAAACCCAAGGTCACTACCGTTTATCGTCGCTTTAATTCTGGAAAATTGTGAAGTGGAATGCGCTCCCCATAGACATAAGGATGTGTTTTATGTTTATTATCTGTGAAACGATGATACTTGTTCCTAGAGTATAAAGATATTCTGTAGCCATAAACTCCATATAATGCTAATGTAAGATCGTCAATTTCCTATTTCCGATGGAATGGAAATCATATACTCAATTCCTAAAGTAGTTAATATTCTAGCAAAATTAAAAGGAGCAATGAATTTTAACGAAATTGATGCCACATCAGGCTTTCATCAAATAAACCATAGCGAGGTTTCTAAACAGCTTACAATTATAATTATACCTTTTGGCTTCAAAACTAATACATGATTACACTTTAATGATTATGTATTTCTGTTGCAGCTCTAACAACAAATATTAAAAACAGAATAAAATAAATATTTAAGGGGGCTCCCATACAACAAACGTGATATTTTTGTTAGTTTTCAGTACGGAACCCTTCGTGCACGAGTTGAGTCGCATTTGGCAAGTTTTAAGGCTAATTATTTTGCAAATAAACACGTTATTTAAGCAGAAAATATAAATAAATACTAAATTTTTACTATTATTTGTTTTGTGAACGTAAGCAAAGACAATTTAAATTAGACTGGAAAGCGAAAAACGCACAATTCTTTTTTTTAACATGACGCAAAGATGGTGGAAACATAGATGGTGGACAGAAGCTACTAAATTAAATTAAACAATAGAAGTATCTCATATTTTACTGTTAAACAGCATGCAATAAATTCAACTATTTGTAGGTACTTAATTATTAACTATTTTATATCGCTCAATTAAAGTGTTCCAATAATATATTTTATTTAATAACTCATTTACTGAATAAAAACATTTATCAACTGGTCAAGTTTTCAAATGTGATTTATATATTTTTGTGCCAACAGTTTTAGTTCATCCGGTATGTTATTATCAGAACCGACTATTATAAGAGTATATCACATATGAGTTACTCTTATAATAGTCGGTTCTGATAAATGGCAAATGTAATATATTAGGAAATCTTGTGTTAAAATTACAAATAACTTTTTTGTTACATAAAGTTCTAAGTCAAACAAACACACCCGTTTTATAAACACAGTAGCGCCATCTAGCGAAAACAGCTAATTGTAGCGTTTTATTATTTAGTCAGATTAACAATACCCCATTAAATTATGTTATTTGAAATACAGCAAAATTAAAAACGAAAGCTTCTTTATTTGATAAATTTCGGAATAAATAAAGACTACAAACTTGGCAATAATCAAAATCCAGTTTTATAAGTACAGTAGGGTCATCTAGTGTTCAGTAGAGGCAGCAAGTATAAAATTGTCGACAAAAATTGTACTGATTAAAATTATTCGACACATCATTTAATCCTTCGTAAACAGTTTAAATTATTTGATAATGAATTTGGAAAAGGATGACATGCAATATAATTAAAAACACAAATAGAATTACAAACAATGGTTACTATGGTAACGATTTAAGGCCCTATACGAACATTCACTCCCATTTTCATCCCTTTATGTGGTTTTTTTTCGGGATAAATATAAGATAGACATATGGTGCCGCGGACATTTTTTAGATCTTTAAAAAAAGCTCAATTTCGTAATAGATATTTTTTACGTAACTTTCGTCGTTTACGCATCGCACGAATTTAAGCTTTAAAAAAGTGAAATATTCTCCCGGTATTGTAAGATTTTCCATAGCTACTCTACACCTATTAGTCATAGTGTGACGTTGTATAGCCTCCTCGATAAATGGACACAAATACAATAACAACACAAATACAATAATTCAATTTGTTCCAGTAGTTCCTGAGATTTTAGAGTTTAATCAAACAAACAAACTCTTTAGCTTTATTATTAGTACAGATTCAAATATTTGTTTTAAATTTATATTTCAATGAGTAAACATGTTTTATCCCATTATGTGTTAACAATTTTGTACTTAAATAAGCATCAAGGCTCAGTACAAATTAAATGTCCATATCACCCAACTACGATTATTCTTTTATTTTATACATTTAATCCGTTGTCTAAGTGACTTTATCATAAGCAGCCTATTATTGTCCCCATTGCTGGACCTCAGGCCTTTCCTATATATTAAATCGAACAGGGAGAATGGGCCATGACACACGACACGGGCCCACTCCGGATTGGTGGGTATTAACGACTACCGATGCAACCGGTAACTTCAAAATTCATTAAAAACACACAACTCTAAATAGCTATTTAAGTAATATCTAAGCAATATCATTTTATCTAATACATATTAATTGTTATCTGCTTACAATAGTTCCTGAACTACTAGACTGGAGTAATGATAATATTCTCGTAGCCGCTCTGGGCAGGACCTACCATAAATGGAGTTGGCGAACGCAAAGTCTAATCAGTGACGGCTTCGCCCGGCAAGTCATTCAAAGCTGCAAATTTGATCCAAGGGGGGAATTGTTGCTCGTAAGACAATATTTACTTTACAAATCTAGTATACACCTTGAAATCTCCACAAAAAAGTATATATTGCAAAATCGACTACTATTAACTCATCAAGAAAGAAATCCTTGAACTTGAGGTGTTTCAATAATTTTGATAAGTAATTTCTTTTATAGTTATTAATAATATTTTTAAATTATAAAGTTGCTTTTTATTCCTATTGCTAGTATTAATCTGATAATGACAGATTTTTTGTAAAAGTCGTTACTTGTGGCTCGTTATCCGGTGGAGGGAGATCTTTCTCGGATCATTTTTTGGTCATTTTTTGGACTTTGGCCTCTGGAAAAATCCAGAGGCCAAAAAATGATCGGATCAAATAGCCAAACAATTTTATATAACACTATACCAAGCAATAGATGGAGTTGTGCAGTTGATAGCATATATAGAAAATTGAGTCACGATCCTAAGCAGTGAGGGAATGTTTTTAGAGAGAGAGTGAGAGTGGTTCATTACACTGGTTCGTTTTTCGCTCGTTCTTCTTAGACGATTCAAAAGTACTTTAATTATTTTGACATTGACTATCTTATAGGAGATTGGCGAAACGACAATCCTGTTGTTATATGCAATATAATCATGTAAATTACATTGATATTACACTACAGCGCATGTTTTCGTTTTCTAACAGTTGGGAACTCACATGAGTACAGTGGAGATCCACAACAATTTACTGAGCAAATATGTGAACAGCAACTTCTGCAGATGTTTGCAAAGCGAAGGCAAGATATGTTCAATCACAGCTCTAGACTGGAGTCCTACGGGAAACTCTTTTATCACGTAAGTTGTACACAACGTTTAATTTAAAATCTAAGAATTTGCCATTATGCGCTATATATAAATTACATTTTTTTATATTACCATCATCTTCAGAAGTACGATGCCCGCGCTAAGCACTATCCTCCCCCATATATCTCTACGACAATCAGTTCTGCACTGTCCGCATCCAGCGGCATACTGCAACCTTTAAAAGATCGTTGATCCACTTGTTGGGGATCTACCTACTGGGCGTTGTTCGGTGCGTGGTCATCGTTCCAAAACCTTTCTGTCCCAACGGCTATTGGTTCTTCTAGCTCTATGTCCCGCCCACTGCTACTTCAGCTGAGCAATCTTTCAAGCAGTTTCAGTAACGAAAGATCTACTTCGGTTCTCCTCTTTCCTATTTCGATAACGTAGAGAAATACCCCTTTGACCACTAGGTAACCTTGAAGCTTCTTATGAGATCCAAGACTTCGTTTTGCTACTATAAGTCAGCCCTAGTGATACAGTGAGGTAATTTGGTTGTTCTGAATTCGACGAGACATCTCTTTCGAGAAGTGCTACTTTTTTTTATAATTAATTCGATTTTCAATTACTTTATTATGTTACATTTTAGATAATTTGGAGTAATTGCTAAAACAGGGTAATGCAGAAAATGAGAAATATTAAAAATATACAACTATTTATTTATTTTATTGAACGTTGATTCTCAATTGTTTGAACTATAATGTATAGTACTTAGCATTCTAAAATAACTAAACGACCTCAAGTCCATGCATATTTCACATACAAAAATACGTCTTTGTTAATATACTCGTATCTCGTCATCATATCAAAGCCAAGAAATCTAAGTTGATGATGGTTTTTTCTTTTACCAGAGGATGTTCTCGAGGGGTGATTGTTACCTTCGACCGCGACTTACGGCTCATCAGCTGGCGGCGTATCTGCAAGACGGAGATACAAGTTGTACGGGTGTCACCCGACGCCCGATACGTGGCGGTCTCAGGCTTCAGCTTTGTAATCATCATGGTGCTGTCCTGGCCGACATTGGAACTGAAATCCAGCCTTAAAACTAATTGGACGATAAAGGTAGGTTGTGTTTCTTGACTTTCACTTGGAGGAGCTGTACCATCTAGACGCTCGCGCGTTCGATGTGCAAGTTAAACTACTTTGGCACGGGCCAGTCGTAAGAAGGATGATCAAAATTTTATTATCTCAAGTTTATCCGTGCTTTGGAAGTCACGTTGTGAAGAGTTCAGTGCTAATTATTGGTTGGAAAATGAAACTGCTGACTAGGCTAGATAAGTTGGTATATTTATAGTTCAAATAAAAAACACAAAAATAGTATAAAACAGCTCGTTTGAATTTCTAAAAATATGATAAGTAGTAAACTCAATTACATACCTTCATACTTGAGTTTATCTAGAAGATACGATGCCAATTTATACACATACACTTCATAAATCACAGCATAGATTTTAAATGTTCTTACGTAATAAAAATATTTTATTAATTTTCAATGATGATCGTGTTGTTATAGAGCATATCGCGTTACTCAACATAAAAAATTACGAAAAATAGATTATAAAAAGAAATAATGTCAAAGATCAAAGACAAAAAGCTTGTATGCAGAAACCTAGGAGAAAATAAACGGTGTGGTACGACGTTAAGCCTAAGTTCTGGTTGCATCCACAGTCGTCAATATCCAACAATTTGACTGATAAACAAAGGGTAGCATTTAATCTACAGTTCATTTACCGACCTGTCATATATTTATAAAATTGGATTACGGTAAAATCAACTAAAACTGTTACTAATGTTACTTACTGTTTTGGCTAAATACTTGATTTTTTTTTAAACCTATACTCTCCACCCTGTGAAGACAAGATGGAAACATTATAAATTATTGCTCTATTTTTACAATTATATGTTGTTACAAAGTATAAATTGTTTCTAAGTTAATTTTCAAGAAATATTACCCTTAATTGACTCTGACAGGTGCTGTTTTATTTCAGTTGAAATACGATACACATAAGTATAATTACCTGATATAGATAATTTAGATTCCCCGTCCTGTTTCTTGTTTGTTGGCCCAAGTTATCGGGGTTTAAACCTTTTCATAATATTTAGTGAAATACAGAAACATCTCATCTCAATTGAAACTTTACATCTTACAAAACAAATTGCATGAAGGTGACGAGTTTTATCACCATAGTAGTGTATCTTGCACATTGCACAGTGCATGCAAAACGCTTTTATGCGGTAGACTTCGACATACTAACACCAGCATGCTTAGTCTCGAACACAATCATGATCGATCGACATTGCAATTGTGCCGTTTCGTACTCTTGATTGGTTCAGCATACTCTGGCGCTAGTGTACTCAATCAAGAGTACGAAACGGCACAATTGCAATGTCGATCGATCGCGATTGCGTTCGAAAGTAAGCATGCTAATCTATGCATAGTATAAAACAAAGTCGCTCCATGCTGTCTGTACGCTGAGATCTTTTAAACTACACAACGAATTTTAATTCTAATATTGAATAATACTAGTTTTTAATTACTACTAAGAATTTAAGAACAAATTAAGGAAGACCTTTTATCAAATGTATGTAATCCAAATTAATAATATTAAAAAAAACTAAGTTATTAACATTTGTTTATATCCCAAATTATCGCTCAATTTCTGGGCGTAATTTATAACCCATTCATAACAAGGGTCAAACTGAAAGTTCTTAGAACTGGCCACTTATAAACAATATAATAAAAAAATAATTCTAAAATTTGAAAATATAACTCTTTGCCAATATTACTGAGTATATATTTCATTCATTTGTCATTTGTTTTACGATTTGGCGGCAAATTGAAAATTGTCTGTGTCACGTCATCATGAATTTAACACGAGAAAATTTTCGTGCAATGATTTTTTATGACTTTCGATGTCATTTAAGTCAACAAGAAAGTTATGATAGACTACGATTGGCCTTTCACGATGAAGCCCCATCTCGTGCGACTGTTTACAACTGGTTTAATGAGTTTAAACGTGGTCGCACTAATCTCACTGATGATTTACGTGAGGGACGGCCTTCTACGGCGACGACTGAAGATAACATCTGTGTTGTGCGGCGTATGATAGAGACTGACAAAAGAGTGACCTATCAACAGATTCGGACAAGCTTAGGCATCGGTATGAGTCAAGTGCACAAAATCCTCCACGAACATTTAGCGGTCAGGAAGCTTTGCGCCCGGTGGATACCTCATAATTTGACTGAGGCTCAAAAACTCCATCGTGTGGATTGGTGTCGTAAAATGATTGAAAGATTTAACGGAGGTGACTCAAATGCTGTGTTCGACATACTAACAGGTGACGAAAGCTGGATTTACTGTTATGATCCTAAAACCAAAAGACAATCTGCTCAGTGGGTGTTTCCTTTCGAGGAGTTGCCAACTAAAGTGAAGAGAGATCGAAGTGCGGGAAAAAAAATGGTGGCCTCGTTCTTTGCAAGGATAGGTCATTTTGCAACAATTGTGTTAGAGGATCAAAAAACAGTTTCTGCAGAATGGTACACTACCAATTGTTTGCCACTTGTCTTGGAAAAAGTTCGAGAGAAACGACCTCGCAGTAGGATCCTCCTTCACCACGACAACGCCTCGTCGCACACCGCCAAGCGAACGATCGACTATTTGGCGACATCAAACGTTGAATTACTGGGTCACCCGCCGTATAGCCCCGACCTCGCGCCTTGTGGTTTTTATTTATTTCCAAAAATTAAAGAAAAACTTAAAGGAAAGCGGTTTATGAATGCTGAAGAAGCGGTGGCTGCGTATCGCGATGCCATTGAAGAGACCCCTAAGGACGAGTGGGCAAAGTGCTTTTCCCAGTGGTTCCATCGCATGCAGCGGTGTATTGACGTGAATGGACAATATTTTGAAAAGATATAATAAAATCAGTTGTAATGTAATCAGTTTTTGATTTTCTAAGAACTTTCAGTTTGACCCTCGTAAGTGTTGCGCTCGTGAATGATAGTAGCACAGTTGTAATATTTTTTTAATTAGTTCTATTATGTAATATATCTTTACTTTATTATACCCTTTATTTACTAACTAAACGACCTATTTCTACATTAATGCTGTTACTAAAATCATACTTTATGTCTATAAATTTATTGTTATATAGACTCTAACTTGGCACCCTTGGCGAAGCGCCTTACTTGGCGTGGGTGCAATAACCACACATTGGAAGACACGCATCGCTCTATTGGACGCTCCATCAGCCAAAATCCAGGAGACCAGTCTAGGCAAAACCAACTACTGCCTCGATACCATGCTGTTCAGTCATCGCACTGGTGAATTAGTGCTTAGTTTGTGGGACTCAGGTAACCAAAAGGAAAATATATTAATATGTGTTCTCGATAATTCATGTCATTAATATCTATAATAGAAAATGCTTAAAAGATCCACCAGGAATCCCAAGATGGAATTTAAAGCCACGACTTTTTCAACTAGGAATTGGATCATAATTTAAATGACAATAACATAATTTAGTTGAATTCACTGACTGAAATTCTAACAGTTCAATTAAATTAAAGCCTTAATTAAATAAAAGCCTTCACAAATGATTATTAAAATTTATAGAAGCACATTTGTGAATTCAGTTGCACAAATCATTAGTAAAACCAAAAAATATAAATTGTGTGATTCTGCAGCTTATAACTTAGACCACAACCTATTTTTAGCTAGAACGTAACTTTTATGTGCAGTATGCAATCCTATTAATATTATAAAGGCGAAAGTTTGTAAGTATGGATGTATGGATGTTTGTTACTCTTTCACGAAAAAACTACTGGACGGATTTGGATAAAACTTTACAGCAATATAGGTTATACATCAGAATAACACATAGGGTACTTTTTACTGGGAAAACTTCTCACTCCCACGGGATACCGACTTCCACGCGGACGAAGTCGCGGGCGTCCACTAGTAATTAATAATTATTGTTGTAGGTCAATATTTAATTCTGTTTTTGTATTGTTCTCATGTAACCAACTATTGTCTTAATGAGATATAAAGATATTAAAACCGTAAGACTATTTTGAGGCAATTTTACGACCATTGTAATTTCGCTCTTCATTAATAAAAAAAAAATGAGTCGCGAATGAAACTTGAGCACGAGTAAACCAAATCCGCAAATATTAAAAATGAAGGAATTGAAGGAGATTCTCACGGAAAAAAAAACATAGAAAAGTTAAAAAAGACATATTTTTCTATACCAAAGGGCAGTATAAAATCCAGTTGCTAAAGTTTTGTGTAGGTTATCAATATTAATCGCCCAACTTTAATTAAAGTATCTTGAATCTTGATTGTTTAGTGAAGTATTATTTTTTTCTACTTTGAAGTACGCAGATCTTCGAGACTTCGAATACCAAAAAATTGGATTTAGTATCTTCCTATTAACAGCTGAAAATTGTGGTCGACACACACATATGTTATTTAACGCTAACAGGACGCGACGAAAATTTTTAATAACATTTTTTTTTAGAATAAAACATATGTCGGTATTATAATTAACATATAATATAGAGATAAATAATAGCTTATTTAACGTATTCTTATGATTTATAGTAGTAGTAGTAGGTAGTAATAACATTCAGTAAAACTAGTAAAATTATGTTGAGTTTTAACTTAATTTATGATCTGAACAGTGCATGTGATGTTGTATGATATTTATTTATTTATGTTCTCATAACGTGGCGACCCGTTTGAGTTTTTGCCGTCAAGTATATAATGACCTTTATTCGTAGTTAGTCTATAATATTGTAGTTTGATCTTGAGCATCGCCAATTAAAGTTAAATACCTCATGTAAATTTAGTAAATGCATCCGTACATCAGTTTTTTTAAAGTTAATAAGACTAATATTAATTTTTAAAAAGTCTTAATTAACTACCTCGGTACACAAAACGCTGCCCTATATTGAAAATGTCATGAAAAACTTTGCGTAATTTAATTTGATCTCTAGGGAACTCTATTTGGATATCGATTCATATCATGACACATATATAATTATAATGACAAATGTAATAGTAATGGGTACTATGGCAATGATTTAATTTCTCAGATTAACGTCCACTTCCATTTTCATCCCTCAATTTACTGTTTTTCAGCTTAAAATATAACCTTAGTTCACTGCATATGATATAGCTTCTCGTAGGTGAAAGGATTTTAATAATTGGTCCAATAATTTCGGAGCCTATTTGCTGCAAACAAACAAATAATCAAATCTTTCCTCTTTATAATATAAGTGTAGACAAGGTGGCATAAATGTAACCATTTGAATAGAATATGGACGAAGCAAAGCTCCAATAAATTGTAATAAGATATTTTATTATTACTTGCATTATATTCCTAAAACCCTATTTACACTCTGATATAAATACACTAAGGGGTTAACTTGGCCTGTCTGAAACGTTAACGCTTAATTAAACCAACTTTTTTGGTTTAAAAACAACAATAAGACACCAATGTTCCTACATTTTATTGTTATATACGTCAGTGATTTTAATGAAGTTTATATTAATTATATTTGATAATAATACAAACTTTAAAACACACTGATAATATCATATGATAATGTTATTTATTCATCGTCAGATGGGCCATGACCCTCCACGCCCGCCCAATGCGAATTGGAGGGTACTAACGACTGCAAATGCATCCGGGACCAAGGGCTTAACGTAGCACTGTCGAAGTCGAGGCAATAATTGGTTGGTCACCCATCCCGTGACCGAACAAACCACTACGCCACCGAACTAATCTATTGTCGTTTTAATATTATTAACCCGAATAAATTACTGAATGCAGACCCGGCCTCATCATACCAAAGACCTTGTTCTCACCTGGTAGTGCTGAGTGACCCTGAGACTGTGGTGGATCATTGGGGCGGAGGCCGCAGCGGACTAGACAGGGTCCGGACCATGATCTTCAGCCCTGATGGAACTAAGCTGGGTACGTAATAATGACAATAAAAGGTATGAATCGAAACGTGCCGCTTTCGTAATGTTCATATACATTAGCCAAACATACATTTCTGTGCCTTATTCTATCCGGTTCGTTGTTGGTGTTATAAATTCAAGTCAGCATTCGATGGGTTAGAGTAGCTCGGTAGCGTAGTGGCTCGTGAACGCTTTCGCAAGGATCTGTCAAACGCAAAATTGAAGTGTGCTAGACATTGACTATTGATAATTGATCAATCTTTTCAACTGAAGGAAAATCAAGCGATGATGTATGTGACATTTTTTAAATTGGGTGTAGAAATTGAGAGATATGGTAGTTATCGTTGTTAATGTAAAATTACGGACATACAGACACTACTACTTTAAAACTGTTATATCTCAAGTGAATATAGAATCTATTAATGGTCCAAAACGTTTGAAAAATGAAATGTTTTTTTTAAAAACACGCGACATAACCCTTTAAAAGTAGTTGTAATTAATGATTAGCCGTCATAAAAATATAAGAAAACAGTTTACAGAAACTATTTTTTTTTTTTTAATATATTTAAATAAATAATTTGAAAAATATTGTGTTTCCAGCGACTGCCACAGCGGACGAAGATCTAATAATCTGGAACTTTCTACCAGAAGACAAGCAAAAGAAGAAGACGAATCGCAGAAAATTCTCTGCTATGCCAGTTTATTTGGACGAAGCCATGCACGGTTACTCTTTGAGATAAGTGCTGGCTCATTAGTGCATTATATTCATGATACTTTTAATTCAAATTAAAAAATATATATAAATAATTGTTATGCTGGATGTAATGTTGTTAATGCGTTTGAATAATAAAACTTTTATATTATAAATCTTACTGTTTGCTATTAAAATAAATTGTCGTTTTAACATTTGTTTTTATTTTTGCATATCAGTTTTTTTTTAATTATGTTTTTTATATCTATACTTTAATATTCTAAAACTAAAGAGTTTGTTTGTTTGGTGAATTCGCTAATCTCAGGAACTACTTTCGAATTCGAATTGTGAAAAGCGTTTTTGTGTTGAATATTCCATTTATTGAGGAAGGTTATAGCTTTTATAACATCACGCTACGGCTAATAAAACTAGTTTTCAAGGACCACAAATATAATCGGTGGAAATATTGCTAATGAAATATATTACTATTAGCTTGGTCGCAACAAACAAAAGGAACTTTTTTCAATTATATCCTATAATTAATTACGAGTTATAAATTATAGTCATAATGTCACAAAATATATACATTTTCCAGTTTTTTAATGACATTCTTTCAGAGCGTCAAAGCTAACGGTATACTCCAATATTGACACGATTTCAAGATCCCTCTAGACAAACGATTTATAATGCTCTATGGCATATTTTTCTATGGAATCCCTATAATTTGTAATTATATATGGGCGATTGTAAATCTGAAGAATATGATGGACTTTGAATAAATTCAACCGGCTCAGTGTTTTGCGACACACAATATACACTTAATGTATGCGCGGTTATCAATATCAGTGGATAGAAATAAAGATTTTTACATTATTTTCCCTTTTAGATTATTTCAAATACACACTATGAATTTTCGAGAAATATCACCTACGAATCATGTTACGCAACGTATAAAAAATAAGAAACATGTTAGAACAGGGCTATCAAAGTTCTTTACATTTGCCGCGAGCAACCCATAGAGTAAATAAGAAACTAAATTCGAGTTCTTAATCAAATACAAAACATGAGTTATTTAGACAATAGGTTTATTGTGATAGCCAGACGTTAGTGACCTAATTTTTTTTTTAAAACATGTTTGATAAGAAGAATAACAACAATGGAGGCTGCATACGTTGCTGTCGTCAACACGTTTAAAAACTAGCTACCTCCAGCGGCTTCGTCCGCGTCGTTTTCCCGTTTTTGCAACTTTTTCATTACTGCTCCACTGCTATTAATCATAACGTGATGTTATATAGCCTACAGACTTCCTCGATAAATGGACTAAACAAAAAAAAATCGAACCAGTAGCTCCTGAGATAAGAGCGTTCAACCAAACTCTTAAACCTTATAATATTATACTAGCTTTCCGCCAGCGGTTTCGCCTGCATTGCCCTCTTGAATCACCCTGTATATTGATAACCGGGTTAAAAAAAATATTTTCTTTAATTTAAAAAAAAATTGTCAGGAGGTCATTGTATGTATGAATTTACTGTGTGGTTATGACAGAACAGAGGCTGTGAGTGCACTCACCGTCACTGAGTCATAAAACGTTTTGTCTCATTTGCTATTACTTTGGATTTAAAATTTTATTAATCACATGGAAGTATCTAGATGAATAAATTTATCTATCAATTTATCTATCTATCTATTTGCAACATACTACAAACATAAACGGAAACTCACACTTTTCTCTTGGAACGTTTATGAGGATCATCATCATATGTATATGTATCATAATTTATACATGTATTTATATTTATGTATAATATATATTTATGTTTATATAATTGTATATAAATTCTTCTGTAATGTAGTGTAAGTAGTATATTTATTAGTTAACTTTATGCCGCCATCATGTATTTCTGTATCCCAAAAGTTGACTGGTAGAGAATGCTAATAGTATTAAGTCCGCCTTTTGTACCAATTTAATGACCAATAAAGTTTGTTAAATAAATAAATAACAGGTTTCCCTAATGCTATAGCGTAGACATAAATTAACACTTATATCATAAGACATATAGTACTGACGGTACGAAATTGTCCGATAAAAAAAACAACAAAAAAAATGGTCTCACTTTGGTAGGAACAAATAGTGGCTTATACCAGATTCAGGCATAAAATTATCAGTGTACCAAATTTTATCAAAACTCCTCATTTGTTTTTGCTTGAAGATGCAACAGACAACCAAACGTACTTGTATGAGTACATACACGTATGTTTCTTTGTGCGGGTATTTGTGTGCGTGTGTCTGTGTCTGTATTGATTCATATACAACATAAATGGTACTAAAATAAATAAAGCATATTGCGCAAATTGGCAGAATCGATGGGAGAATCACTGATGAATCATTAAATTTTTAACGAATACTTTTATAAATTTGTGTATAAAATCTACACTTATATTCCGGATGTTGGAGGCCTGGTGACCTGTAAAACGGGTTTTACACTCAAGTGCAGGCACCAGTCTCCACGATAAATTGTGATGTCCCTGATACGCTCTGCATTTTTGTACATTTTTTTATATTGTGGAGAAAAATAAAGAAATATTATTATTATTATATTAAATCTATAGACTTTCCAGCCTCGGTTAGACAACGTAACGTTCGTTGAATAGATGCCTCTCTTAATTATAATTATTATTGAATGAGGTTTTAGCGTACAGACAGCTGGAAGTAACCTTTGTATTATACTATGTTTATAAATATAGACTAATCATCGCATAAATCATAAAAAAATTGCCTGTATATTTTAATAGATCATTATTTAACCAGACTTGTTTTATATGTATGCATATTTATTCGTTATTCAGGATCCAAAGAGCATGCTCTGCTTACATAGAATCAAAACTGAATAATGGAAGAACTTTGTGAATATTTATATTTTGCTAGAGAGCACGACAATCGATTTCCTATAACTAACGTGGCAATATTTTCATAATAAACTAACGGTTCGCCCAACTTCGATCGGTTTAAACAAATGACTACTTTAAACTTATAAATATTATAATACCACATGACCTATCTACCAATAGAGTATGTGTTTTTAACTTTTATCTTTGCTAACTTTGTTTGTTAAACCTATAATATAATAATGAAAGTGATTGATCTGAAGTTTGGTTTATATCCATTATTTTCTTTCTTGTATCTTCGTTTCAGATGCTATCAGCAATATAAGATACCACAAAAAGATAGTAACACTATTGTCACAGCTATTGTGTAAGTCTTTAAAGTTGTGGCAAAAGTCAGCTCCGAGGTATTCCAGTAACTAAACTCTGCACTGCATATTGAGTGACGTTTAACCTCAGTACTTACTTCGATATGCGACGGGTTGGATACTTAGGCAAATGAATAAAAGGCTGACTAAGCTTGAGAACTTGATTTATTAAACAAACAAACGAAAAAGGAATATATAAACAGTTCGTATGATTACCTAAATAATATATTTAAAATAGTTAAATAGAAAAATTACATATACCTTGATTAATTTTGCATTCACAATGTCATACTGAAAAATATTCTTAATACAAAATGCTTAAAAAAACCACTTGGTCCCTGGCACCCTGAGATGGGAATCGAACCCACGACGCAATCCGGGCGTCTGCCAACCAAGTGCCGGGATCAAGTGGATTTTTTAAGTATTTTGTATTAAGAATAATTACATATACCGTTTCTGGGTTTTCCGTAATGGGTAGAACTTAGTAGATATTTCACGAAGATATACGTTTACAAGATTCTTATTTAAATAATAATAATAATTTATATTGGATTTTTATGATTAAATATTATTAAATTGTCATGTTCTTGCCGGATGATTTTTTTACGAACTGACATTCATAAAAAGCGTCAGAGGTGAGTTGTGACAAGGAGGATTTCTCTCTACCTATTATAGTAAGCGAGATGGCTTTAACGCTTGTTTGTCGTTCTCGACACGCGCTACACGACTCAGTACCTGTCGACGGTGCATATGGCACAGTTGCGTAAATATATCGTCAGTGTACAAAAAATTGCGAAAAGTAAGTTTTTCTTCAAAATATTATTTGAATATATATCATATCTTAGTATATGTGCATTGATGTTTTATTTTTTCTTAAGTTATGTAGTTATTTAAGTCTCAATACGTGGCACTGATTTTTTGTATGCGCATCGTGTTTAGAAAATATGAATTATTATTCGGACCAAGACGTCATTTTGAACACCTAGGCGAGTTGTGACAGCCTGTCACAACTCTTCTATCTTACTCCATATTTCTGCTGGGCTATTTTTACAATTTTTTTTATTAACTTTAGATGTTTGTTGTTGTGTTAGTAGCTACTTAAGGTGTATAATGGCATACCGCATACTTATTTTATTTGAGAATGCCAAATAACTATACAGAGACTGAAAATCTAAGAATGTTAAGAAGCGTGTCTTAAACGAAGAAAAAAAAAGAAACCTAAAAAACCAAAGAAGACTAATAAGAAGAATAGAACAAGTGATGAAGAAGATGCAGAAAATAATTGCTTTTATTTGGTTTGCCTTAAAGCCTATGCAGACAGCAAATCGAATGTTTAGTGGGTCCAAAGCCTTGAATGCAAAGGCTAGGCACACGTAGATTGTACTGGGGACGAGCTGCATTACGTTTGGCATAATTGTGAATCTGATAAGATTAAGATTTTATACTAATTATAACAATAATATGATTGATCTCAAAGCGATACCATATTTAGTTAATGAAAATATTATAATTACTTGTTATGAGAATATTAATACTATGTTGTTTTAGTTGGTAGGTATTAAAAGATGATTAATCAAGTCAAATCAAATCAATCTTTATTGTTGATCGCAGGTTATATAAAGATATTGGATGCAAGGACTGAATAGTTACACCGTGATCTGCCTAAAAGGCATACAATATTAGTAGGTTAGTAATTGTCAACTAATCTAATCAATAACATGTTATGTCAAAAATTCAATTAATTCATTAAGTATTTATACATTTACAAAGTACTGTCAGCTAGATAGTCGTTTACACT